CAAGAAGCTAGTAGAAACAAGTGCCACGCTAATAGGAACAGGTGCCTTACTAGTAGTAACAAGAAGCTAGTAGAAACAAGTGCCACGCTACTAGGAACAGGTGCCTTACTAGTAGTAACAAGAAGCTAGTAGAAACAAGTGCCACGCTACTAGGAACAGGTGCCTTACTAGTAGTAACAAGAAGCTAGTAGAAACAAGTGCCACGCTACTAGGAACAGGTGCCTTACTAGTAGTAACAAGAAGCTAGTAGTAACAAGTGCCACGCTAGTAGTAACAGGTGCCTTACTAGTAGTAACTAGTAGCAAGGACGCTAGTAGTCATGGAATACTGTGGAAACACACCGACACCGAACGTGAGTTGAGTGTGTGATAGGTGACTCCTTCGAGCACGGGTGTTGGTGACTCAGCCCTTTCGCACTATTTAACAGAAAACCTTGAAGGATAATAAAGGAAGTAAAAAGCGAAATAACAATAACCGCCTCCAACCTAAAAAATGATTCTGACGATTCATTTTCTGTTCTTTGTCGGTGTTTGAGTCAAAAGCCCAAGGTTTTGGTGGCCCATGCAGTCACACTCAGTGGCACCTTTGTCATGTTTGGGTTTGAATCTTCACCGATGCCAGAGACACTCCACGACTTGGTTTCCACAGAACAATGGTAGGTCTAAAAGTCTAGGACTTTTGATTACTAATTGAATTACCAATTTTTGTTTCTACTAGCTTCTTGTTACTAGTAGTAAGGCCCTTGCTCCTAGTAGCGATGCCAGGAGCCCCTAGTAGCGTCCTTGGTGAAATCGCTTTCGCAGTCTTTCGATTCACGTTTCCACTCCTGTCGCTTTGGCTCGAGCAGTGTCTGGCTTCGGGGGATCATGAGTGCGGAGAAACGAGGAGCCGACCACATTTCCTTACTAGTAACAAGTGCCTCGCTAGTAGTAACAAGTGCCTTACTAGTAGTAACAAGTTACGAATTTAATTAGAATTCTAATAGCTTCTTGCTACTAGTAAGGCACTTGTTACTACTAGCGAGGCACTTGTAATTACTAGCTTTGCCAGATATTTTGAGATCTTCACTGTTCTTGTGTCGTAATTGAGCAAGGGCGCTACTAGGAACAAAGGGCATCGCTACTAGGAAGAAGGGCTTTACTACTACTAACAAGAAGCTATTAGAAACAAGAATTAAATCAGAATTAGAATTAAACTATAGACCTTTTTGCACTTTTCCGGCTCGGTCTGGAGATTTATCGAATAAGTGCGCGCGTGAGTTCTTCGGTCAAGAATTACCAAGGTGGGTGGAATTCGATCGTCGCAATACTTCAAGTATACTGCAAGATACTGCAGTTGAGGCTCAAGTCCATCTTGGAAGCAATGTCATTGATGCGTTGCATACCGGGCAAGTGCACATGGACAGATGCTTGTTGTAGTGGCTTTTCAAAGGTCATCGGCGCAGCACCACTGAAGGATGCATTGCTCAAAGAGGACAAAAAAGAGAAATGGGATTCTCAAAGAGACGAGAAACTGGATTCGAGTTTCTGCTTAGAAAATCGGCCTGTGAACATCGTAAACGACAGCGAGGTGAATGGCTTTCGGCCTTTGTCTGAGCCAATCACGATTGAGGTAAATGAGTGCAACCTTGCCCCGTTCTCTTTGCCCCAGGAATGCTTTAGCTACGTGCCAGAACCGGGCATGGTAGTTTGTAGCTTTGAAAATGGTGAGTCTGAGAGAATGATCTCATGCAACACAGAGCTCTCAAAGGATGAGCTGTCTATGTTGCAGAAACTTCAAGAGGAGGCAGCACTTCAGAAAAGGGCCTTTGTCCCCTCCCTCAGCGTCGCTGCCGTCCGCTACTTGGGCGACACAGGTGATGTTCAAGAAGCTCTACAGCGCATGAACGAGACGCAAGCCTGGCGCCTCTCCTATTTCTCTTCGCCCATTTCGGACTCCTCCGTCCTGGACGATCTGTCGAAAGGTTTCATCTACTTCTGTGGCCGAGATGCGGCCTTGCGGCCTGCCTTGGTGATGCGAGCCAGTCGGGTGCCTTTTGGGATTCCGGCCGAACAGTTCGGGCGCCTCTTCGTGTTCTGCATGGAATACTTCCTTCGCTACATGGTGCTTCCCGGAAGGGTCGAAAATATCGTCGTCATCGTCGATTTGAAAGACATTTCATATAGCCAAATGCCTACAGTATCTGCACTGATGGAGCTCAAAGAAGTTTTGACCAAGCAGGATGCTGGACGGGTGTTCTGTTTCTACGTGTGCAACATGCCATTCATTGTCCGCGCTTTGACCAGTGTTGTTCAAGCAGCGATGACGGAGAAGCAGCGTCAGAAGATGCGATTCGTAGACGTCTCGGAGCTTGTCCAGGATTTTGCCTTGAACCAGTTGGAGGAAGATCTTGGTGGCACCCGACGACTTGAAACGACCTTTTTTCCATTTCCTTTGCCTCCAGGCCGTGTTGGACCTTTTTTTCAAGCATAGATGCATTCTTGACCTGAGTTTGTTGCTTGTGCATGTTTGATAACAGTCATGCCGGAATGGGTGCACAAGCTCGTTCCCAAAGGCTTTGAATCTTTTTTTCAAGGTTTCTATGGAATAGGATTGTTACATCCGGTTGTGTCCCTATTTCCAGTCAATGTCCCGCAATGTGGCGCTGGAAAGGGTTTAACAGGAAACACGGAAAGCCCATCGGAAGGATAAGGAATGTCGTGGCAAGACCAATCAATGCGCCTTTTGGGCGGAACGATTGGACCAAATTGAGCGTGTGGGAAGATGAAGTTTCGTAGTAGACAGCTTGGGCAAAGGAAGAATTGAAGAAAACATTTGAAAACACATATTGAAGAAGGATAAGGAATTTGAAGTTTAAAGTGTCTTTCTCGCCGTTTTACTGGGCTGGTTTGAAGAGACGCCGCGTGAGAAGGTTTTCCTAAGAACGCATGGCATCAGCGCAGGAAGACCTTGAGGCCTTTGTAGACTTCGACACTGGAGAAACACAAAATACAAAAAACATATCGTTCGGTTGGAGGCCATCGCTCTTAGATTGGAGGCCAGGGCCATTGCTGCTTAGTGCTGGGACTCGTGGTATCTCGTTGGCAGCTTTAAACTAGCTCGCAGTGGTTTCAATTTGTGAAGGCAAGAGGAAAGAAGACAAGCACGAGAGAAAACTAGGAAACAAGGGTTCAATTGTGTGATGGGAAAATTCAGAAGTTCAAATAATTGAGTCGTAACTTAAGACTATAGCATTTAGATTTGGAGAACACTGAGGATTTTTCTTTCCACAATTCTATCAACTTTTTGCTAAGTTGTTTTGAAAGGGGCGTTGCTGAAAAGAGGCCGGACGTAGCTGTCAAGCGGCTTGCTGGTTGGGATTGGTCGGTTGTTGCGCTGTGTTTTTTTAAATAGATTTTAATATAAGTGTTTTCTTTTTTGGCCCGCCCTTTCTTTATTACTTGTCTAAGTAGGCGCCTAGATTTTTGGGGAAAAACACCTTTTTGCAATGCATTGCTGTTGAATGAATGCGGCTGCTTGAAGACTTGCTTGGACATGGGAAGAGGTTGCAGGACTGAATGCAATATTGTTCACTGTGAATTCAGTTCACATTTCATTAACGTTTGCTTAGACTGTGATTCCAAGCCCGTTCTATCGAGATATGTACATGTTTTATGTGCATCCTGATGCAATTTTGTGCAATTATGAGATTGTCAAAGATGTAAGATTTTGGACCCTAAATCCTGAACGCAGGCCCTTTTGCTGCTGGATCCTCAGAGGTGATGGAGGCCGTGCCGAACCTCCATCAGCTGATCACAGCTGAGACCGCCCGCGGGCGGCTTCGGGACGTGCGCCGCAGCAACAGGGCCAATCGGCGCTTGGAGCTCTCAGAAGCGGCGAGGGCAGAGCTCAAAGGGCTCCGAGCGCTTGAAGTGGACGAAGTGGAAAGTGGAGAAGAAGACAGACATCGAGGGAATCCTCGGAATTGGACAAAAGACAAGATGGACAAAGAAGAACAGAGTAATTGGATGGATTTATTGAAGGATGGCACAGTAGGTGGGGCTTGTCGAAGGGAAGGAAGTCCTCAAAGAGGACAGATCAAGCCAACTTCCCAATCTTCGCTGGAAAACCAGCAGGTGAATTCACAGTGCATGTTTTTGTGTCCTTTTTGCAGGGTGGGCATTCATGTCGCTCGATGATGCTTGACTGGGCCCGACTGCAAAAGTGCCAATTGGCCCGATGGCAAGGTGCAAAGCCTGCAAAGCCTCACATTGCTTTGGCGTGCCGAACGGCAAGGATATAGTTTGCTATTTTAGGTTGGAGGCCATCGCTAGTAGAGACAAAGAGGCAAGAAAAGCAAAGTGGCAAGGGCACAACAAGCCTTTTCAGCCCGAAGGGCTGAATGACAAGGGTGCTAGTTAGTCGCACAAAGAACAACGGACAGCGGCGCCAGCAGTGTTTGTAGACCGATGCATTTGGATGCATTTGGATCGAAGTGGACTCTGCCTTGTGTTTGGGCCTGCTTGTCAGGAATGAAGTGAAATTCTGGTTCCAGATTGCAAGGCCGGCCAGCATTGACGATGCGTCCTGCATCCATTCAATTCGCAGAGTCAGCAGAACATTCCGACAAAGCCCAGAGGCCGCCGGTGGGAGAGAGCAGCAAGTTCTGCGTTTCACGGCTAGGGTAGACGAGGCTGGGCATGGGCATCAACCGGTCAAATCGGTGCACCATTGTCAGAGTTGTGCCAGAAGAGATACAGAGTTGCGCAAGGTGACTGCAACCCACCCATTGCAGGCGGATGCTGTTTTTGGTTGTTAAGCATGATTGAGGTAGAGTTTTGCTTTGCTTCCAAGTGCTTTGATATTGCTACGTAATTTCCGCTCGCCAAGCATTTCTTGAGCCTGCTTTTTCAAGAACATTGACATATTTTATGTTTATCTAGGACACTTGCCACCAAAAAAGCACACACGCATCCTGCATCACAGTCTTCCAGTTTGCCATCATGGCAGTCCCATCCGCCATGTCATGCGTCCTTAGCGGGCGGAGCTGGCTTGAGAGGCGTGAATCGCAGTCTATGCGGTTCTGGGGTCCGTCGCGTCGCTCCTTTCGTTGGGGCGCGTGGCATCGCGTGGCCGGCGGCCTTCTCTCCGCTTCTTACCCTCTCGGGTTGAAGCGCCTTCGGTCTCGCGCCTTTCCGGCACAGGGGTGTTTTTGGCGGAACGAGTGCATCGCCACTAGTAGCAAACAGCTACTAGTATGGCACTTAGCTACTAGTAGCGCCCTTGCTACTAGTAGCTTCTTGCTTTTAGATAAACGGATTCTGTATCTTTTATAAGTGAATTCTGAGGCAGAAACAGGGGAGTCGTTGGAATGAGGGCCAAGCCGGCTGTGGAGTCTGAGTACGATGTGGTAGTCATTGGTAGTGGACTAGCTGGCCTCACTTGTGCTGGTGTCCTTGCAGCTGCAGGTAAACGGGTCAGGGCACCTAGCACAGGTTTTTTTCTTGCAAGTGGGACTTGTTTGAATATTTGTTGATACATCTGTAGTAGTTATTATGTTCAATCTGAAGTTCGCTTAGGTTTGTGTCTTGGAAAGTCATTATGTTCCTGGTGGTGCTGCTCACACCTTCCGAGCAAGAGCAAAGGGCATTGAAGGAGACTTTTGCTTTGATTCGGGGCCTTCGCTCTATGGGGGACTGAGTGGTGAACGAACATCATCTCCACTGAAACACGTCTATCAGATTCTGGGCGAAGAGCCCAAGTGGATCCAATATGACAGGCCAGGACTATGCAAAAAATCTACATCATCATATAAAAGATACGTTTTGCAATATTTAGATTTCAGACCGTATTTTGCAGAGGCTTCAGACCGAGCGATTGTTTATCCAGGTGGAACGCCTTCATCCCTGAGGGTGAAGCAAATGCAGCCATTGGTTATGAGGAGTTCGTGACAAAGTTGCTACCTCGATTTGGTGGGCCAAATGCTCAAGAGCAATGGCAGCGGCTGATGCAAAACATTGCACCTCAGCTGAAATGCCACAGCATGGCCTGCGTGCCAAAGAGGCACGGGCGACCAATGGGATTATATACTTTTTTGAGGGGTTCAAATCGGTTCAACTCCTTATACAATCAATGTTGATTTGTTGGGCCGGCTAGGGAAGACCCTGGGAGCTTTCCTCTAAAGTATGCAGCGTCATTCCTTCATCGCCTTCATGTCCAAGTTCCAAAGCCTATGCCTATGTGCTGAAATAGGGTTTTATGTATGTAGGACACAATGCCACCCCACCAGATAAGGTGGAAGAATCAAAAACTGTCCTAAAATAGGTGTTCAACTTTTACTAGTAGCTTTTTGTTCCCAGTAGTAATGCCAGGAGCTACTAGTAGCCTCCCTGCTCCTAGTAGAAAGGCCCTTTCCAACTGGTAGCTTCTTGTTCCCAAGCCTCCACCCTAGTAGCGAACTGCATATCGCGTTTCACCGTGCACAGCTGTGTTGTTTGAACCTCTTTGGTCCTAGGATTGTTTCTAAACAATCTTTACGTCTTTCGCAAGGGCCAGGGGCTTGGACAAAAAGTTGCTGGTCAAGCCGCCTGCAAACATAGACTGTAAAGATTGGACCCTGAGCCTGAACCTGCAATTTGCAAAATCACGTTCATTGATTTCCTGGATCTATTCAAGCCACTAGCACATGTACATGGGTGTGCATCTCAATAGGGGGACTCTCAAGTCTTTTCCGTTGGTGCCCTCTTTGGGAGGTCTCCCTCTTTTGATGCGCATGGCCAAACCCCCAACATGAAGGGGCAAGCCTTTGGCCATTAAGGATTATGGAGGCCACCACGTACATAAAACATTCCAATATCGCAACACCTGAAACCTTAGCAGGAAAAAAGGACAAATCGATGTGCAGGACCAATCGTACGAACAAACCCCGCCTGTGAACTACTGCGCAGCAGGGACACAACAAATCAACCTGAAAGACTTCTTTCAAATTGAACACAGCTCACTGGCCTAGCAGCCGCAGAATCAGGGCACCAAGGTCATGGCCAAGCCGTTGCCTGTTTACAATGAAAGGTGTCAGACGAGAACTTGTGATTAACGCCGCTCCAGGGCGTGCTGACTCTGGCTACTTTGTCGGCATCAGAGCCTTTGCATCAGGAGAGCCGTCATCTGTTGTTTCTGTTCCTTTTAGGCTGGTCTTCCATGTCTTGCTGTCCCGCTCCTATGTTTGTAGCAGGAACCCCATTTTGTGTGGGAATTGTTTTCCAACGTGTTTTGGGAATTTTTTTACAGGTTCTGTTGTCTTCGAGGAAGGAAGGAAGGAAGGAAGAGCGAGGAAGGAAGGAAGAGCGAGGAAGGAAGGAAGGGAGGAAGGAAGGAAGGGAGGAAGGAGCAATGTGTCAGTGCCGGGATGGTCACTACACTTTGTTTTTTGCGGGGGGGGCGCTGCGCCCTCCCCCGCACCCCCTCCCGCTCTTTTTATTGATGATATTGCTACAGCGCAGCACGACAGCCAAGAATACAACCAAGCCCATACATCCATACATACCTACCTACCTGCCTGCCTGCCTACCATACCTACATACATTGATACATACATACATAGACAAACTTACATACACTACACACTACATATGCATGGACATACTGTTCCTCCTTTTCATTTTCTCCTTCTACTCTTCTGTTCCTTGCCTCCTGCGCTAGTTCTCTCTCTTTTTCTCTTTGTGGCAACCCCTGACCACAAACAGTGCGGAAAAAAAATCCCAAAACGCGTCGGAAAAAACATTCCCGAAAAAAAAGGTCGCCCTTATAGCACCGAGCCTCATCCTGAAGCAGATCATTGCAGATTTTGCAATATAATCGCCGGAAGGTCTAGATACTCGTTCGTGTTCGTGTTTTTGTGCCTTTCTGCTTCGTCTATTCTTTTTTCTGGATCGCGGGCGCCCTTAAGAGAGTTCAGGCAGTGAATCGGCTTGCGTAATTTGGCCCCAATCTCTGAAGGCTGGCTAGGGGGATTGGATCCAACGCGTTGTCTCATAGTGATGACACGGGTTTGCACATGGTCCATGTATACAAACAATTGCACAATTTGGGCCTTAGGGGGCTTGATTTTTTCATGTGTTGACTGCAATCCATACACATTTTAATGATCTTGAATGTTTTTCTTATATAAACGTTCTTTCGCTGAACGTTGCTGTGGAATCTTGCTGACTCTTGATCTGTGAGTATGTACCAGATATATGTACACACATAACAGCAATCTCTTTGAACCTCTAACATATCTGGGCTACCCCAAAAACAACTTGCCAACATCCGTGGCTAATGCTAGAAGTTGTGGACGTTGGCTAGCACAAGATTTGGCAACCTTTTGATTATGCCCCTTGGCCATCATTTTGTCACGTTGGTTGCTTGGACAAGGTGCCCATGGCTGATGCAATTTGCAATGGTCCACCGCCAGCCTTTGTGCGTGAAGATGTTGGGGCCGCCGTTACGTTGGCCCGATACTTGCCCAAATTGAAGGCCATACCCGGAGGCCCACAGAAGCTGTCGGAGCCTTTCAGCAAGTTCTTGGAGGATGCTGGAGCATCTTGGATTGTTTAGGTTGCCATCGATTCCCATTTGTTGTCTTGGTCGTAAAGTATGTAAAGCGCCAAATGTTGAAAGCTTAGGTTGGAGGCCACCGCTAGTAGGTTGGAGGCCATTGCTTCTAGGGTGGAGGCCACAGTTTGTTGCCGCGCGAGGTTACCGATCCGTTCATCAAGAACTGGATGGACATGTTTGCGTTTTTGCTCCAGGGCCTTCCGTGCTATGGGGCGCCAACATCAATGATGGAGCCTTGGGATCCACGAGAAAACTTTCGTTTACATGAAACTATTCGAACCTTGTTACTACTAGTAAGGCACCTGTTCCTAGTAGCGTGGCACTTGTTACTACTAGCTTATTGTTTCTAATTTCCTCTAATTACTCAACTCGTTCAGACAACGCCGTGTTGCAACCTTTCGGTTTGATAGATGCTTTCTTTCTCAGGCATGGAGAGGTGGGTTGCCCCCAACCCTTTGAACATGTACGAGGCTTCACCTTGTTTACACAGTGGCATTTCATCAGAAGTGTTTTGACAAGGCTATCAGACTGACGTGCTTTGGCCACTGTTACTGCTCCTGCCTTGCTACTTCTGTTTTCTGTTCCTTCTTCACTAGTCACTAATCTCTTTGTTTATTTTCACAGTGCCCCCTCACATGCACGCAAAAGTCTAAAGTAAATGTCTGCACGCAGAAGGCTCATCCGCCAGGCCACGAGGCCAAGAAACCCTGTTGCATCCTTTTCCCTCACTGCACTTTGACGCGAAAATACGTGAAGGGAACGAGAGAAGCGAAAACTGCATAGCGAGCCCCGAACGTAGCTTCTTGTTCGTCGCGATGCCCCGTGCGGCCCGTTGGGCACACCGTGTGTGGTGAAACATAGGACGGTTGCGTATAAGGGTGTGTTCCAACAACTCTTTAGCAAGAACGCTACGAACGTAGCAAAGGGCATCGCTACTAGGAACAATGTTTGCTAGTAGAAACAATAAGTAAAATGACGGGTGACCTTGCGTTCTTCGCTTCGCTTCTGTTGGTTCCTGAGGCATACATGATGGGTGACCTCTACAAAAAGAATACGTGCTTGGATTTTCCGAAAGGTGGCAACGAAGCTTTAGTTGGGGCTTTAGTGCGAGGAATTGAAAAACACCCAGGCGGGCATAGTGGCTTTCACCGAGAGTTTGCGATGTTCAGTGCAATAGCTGGAAGTATTTTAGACCATGTGAGCCATGGATGATGGGCTCCTAACCTACTAGCGATGGCCTCCAACCCTAGTAGCTTCTACTTAATAGAAAGCTTCAAAGACATACTAGTAGCTTTATTGTTACGACTGTAAGACAGAGATGAGTTTCCGAGAGATGAATTGCCGAGCTCGTCACAGGCTGCAAGGTGATCCTCAAAGCCCATGTGGATGAAGTGATCGTTGAAGGCGGTCGAGCTGCGGGAGTTCGATACAACAGTACGAGTGGTGGGAGTTCAATCCGTGCGCGTGAGGCAGTAGTGAGTTCGGTGCTGAGTTTGAGTCCCAAAATTTTGTTGCAACAGCAAGAAGCTACTTAGTAGCTAGAAGCTACTAGGGTGGAGGCCATTGCATGTACTGCGGATTCTTGTTACGTGGTAGCACTCGCGAGGTAATGCGGATTGGCAGGTCACCCAGAAATTGTTGAAAGGTGCTCCTGAACTTGAAGAGTATTTCAGCCAATGGACAAAGTATCCGTTGTTGAAGTCGTTCATTCATTTGCACTTGGGCTTTCGGGGGGATGGCCTGCCGCCAAGCCACTGTGCGGAGTTTCCTGCACAATGGGGGGTGTTCAACGACTGGTCCGACTTGGAAGCGCCTCGCAACGCGGTTTTGGTGAGCTGTCCATCGATGCCTCTTGGATTACGGAGAAAGTGCTTTTACCTCCCAACAGTCGTAGGTTTGTTTGGTACAAACGTGTCATTCAGTTCATTGTTATTTGTTATTCTGCTACTAGCAGGAAGCTAGTAGCTTAGTAGCTAGAAGCTATTAGGTTGGAGGCCATCGCTAGTAGGTTGGAGGCCATTACTACGAGTAGCAAGAAGCTATCAGGAACAAGAAGCTACTGGGGGCTCTTTGTCTTACTACTAGGAGCAAGGACGCTACTAGGGGCTCCTGGCATCGCTACGAACGGAGCATTCTTACTACTAGTGATCAGGTTGGATTCTGATCTCGCGCCTCCCGGTCATCATGTTGTCCATGCATACACTCCTGCTACTGAGCCGTGGGAAGACTGGGCACCCGTTGACCCGAGCTTCGGCATTTAAACAAAAGTTTGGTCATTTTCAGACAGCGGTTGCAGCCTCAACTCGTATGAGTTATCATTGATCCAACCAATGATGCAGTTGCCCTGATGGAAGTAGATTGGAGGCCATCGCTTCGAGGTTGCTTCTTATTTCCTCTTACGTATATGTATTGGGTTTTTCAGGAGTCCGATGTTTGAAGAGATCCTAAGAGCAACAAACGCGACTGCCGCATTTTACATCAAGCTTTTCCGTCATAATATGATATATAACTATATAATAGTTATACAAAAGGTAGTACAGTATATATATATCTTTCTATCTGCACACATGTTCATGATACCCCCCGAACCCCTACCCCGAACATGAGGGAACCCTGAAGACACGAACCAAAGCCTGAGCAGCATCATGTCCGCTGCTAGGTTGACAAACGCAAAGTCTTTTACTCAATCGACGGGCCTTGCAGTCCTGGAGAGCGAGGTTGAAAGGCTTGTGTCAAAGGCTTGCCAGTTACAGTTAGTTCTCCAAAGTGCTCAGGAAGAGTGAGGAATACAAAAAGAAAAAGCGAGAAGCTCGCGATTTCTTGTACGCAGCTGTGGGGAAGCAGGTGCCAAACCTGGAAGACGCTGGGCTCAAAGAAGTTGGTAAATTTTCAGAACCACAAAGTGATACTAGGAACAAGAAGCTAGTAGTAACAAGTGCCTTACTAGTAGTAACAAGAAGCTAGTAGAAACAATCGAGATTTGATGTGCTCTCAGGACAGGGTGGTCATCGAACTGGTTGGGACTCCGCTCACCCACCGCAGATTTTTACGGAAGCCCAGCGGAGCTTATGGACCCAAACGTGCTTGTTGATTGTGATTTTCTTTGAGCCAGGCAACTCTGTTGGAGGCCATCGCCAGTAGTAACAATAAAGCTACTAGTATGTCTTTGAAGCTTTCTATTAACCAGAAGCAGGTAGGAGGCATTCAAAAATTGTTTTTTTTGCTTCTTTCTGGTCGAGTGACGCCTAATCTTGTGTAGGAGGCAAACCCAGCAGTAGGTATCGCTTGCTACATGGATTAATTTTTTAACGAGTGACGCCTGATCTGTCTTTATGAAGCGTTTGTTTTTTCACAACAGCCGACGGTGGATCCTGCTGTAGGAGGCAACCCGCAGTCGTATGCTTTGCTTGCTCCATTAGTTCCCCTGACGACGAGTGACACCAAATCGAGCTTTGCTTTGTGAAATGGGTGTTTCCGTTTTTGAGGGTGTTGCTCGCAGCCACCACCACTTTCGACCGCCACACCAGGGGATGAACACCCTCCCAAATCGCTCTTATGAATTCAGAAAACGCTAATATGACTCACTAAAGCACATCAGTAGTAACAGGTGCCTTACTAGTAGTAACAAGAAGCTACTAGGAACAAGTAAGTGCATCGCTTCTAGTAACAAGTGCCTTACTAGTAGTAAATGTTTGCCTCCTTGGAGTTGCACGCTGGGAGGTACGGAGTTGCTTCCTGTCGCACCTACCTTTCATCCCCCTCTCCCCCTATCACGTGTAGTGCCTGACGCCTGATCTTTCCTGAGGAGGCAATACCAGCAGGAGGTTTTACTTGCTAGGAGGCCATCATTATTTGTGTGGAGGTGCCATTGCTCTTTTGTTGGAGGCTATTCCTATTAGGTTGGAGGCCATTAGTTCTTTCTCCAAGGCTGAGTGGTGCTTGATCTATAGGAGGCAAACCCAGCACTCTTTGAGCTGCTGTCGCAACAGCCAAGATCAAAGATGATACAAGTGACTTAAGCTGAAGTCAGTTGTACACTAACGCGTTGACTGATACAGCTGCAAGTTGAACCGTGCATGTGACATAAGACACTTCCACGCATGCGCTCAAACTGATGTCAGAGAAGGCGGTCACACAATCTCATATATGTGGTGCCCATGCAGCCATGCACATGGTGTCATGTAAATATTCCTTTGCTAGTAATTACAAGTGCCTCGCTAGTAGTAACAAGTGCCTTACTAGTAGTAACAAGAAGCTATTAGAATTCTAATTAAATTCGTAACTTGTTACTACTAGTAAACCTGGTTGGCGTGGTGTCATGTAAACCTCCAGACGCTCGAACCATGGACACCACACGTTTCAGCGCGAAACCTCATCCTATCGCCTGCTTGCCATCTCAGCTCACTTGTCTCTGGTTGGTTTGTGTGTGGGTTCTCTATCTCAAGTTTGATTCTTTGATGTCCCTGTTGTCCTCATGTAAGAGAGACCTAAAGTGATGAAAGTCATTTGTTTTCCTTTAAGTCAATCCTTGCGTTCTCAACGCAAGGCAATGTGTCACCCCGGAAGGTGTTGTTGTGGAATGCACTGTTGTTTGTGTCAGAGCGGGAGGATAGACAGTTTCAACCTGAAAGCAGCGCTAGTTGTGAGATCCCATGGCAGCATTTTAACTAGGGCATCTACTCTAGTATTGAAGTTTATGCTCTTCCATTAGGTAGTGATGGCCTCCAACCTAATATCGATGTCCGTATTAAAGCTTATGCTCTTCATAGGAAGCTTCCTGCACGTTTTCGCGTTTGCTTCTTGTGCGCAAGTCGCAGGACTTCGCGTCACAGCGCCAGAGATGCTCCCAGGGCACAAGACGCCCTTGGAAGGCTGAAATCATGTTGAAACGTGTTTTTTTCCGAAAGTTCCTGTGAAAAGTTCTTCAGAATTGCTGTCAAATCATAGTCATTGTTGATTATTGTTATATTCGATCATCATCAGGATCATGCAACATTGACATTTCAATGTTCAAAGGCATCACCAGCATCATCAAAGAGCAGAGGTAGAGGTGTATTCCAAAACTAGCTGACGTTGCTCTTGCTTTAGCAAGTAAAATGACCGGGCGGACGGCGCCTCAAAAACCCGAACAAGTTGATTCATTAAATCAATCTTATGGACCCCCGCTCCGGAGGTTCAACTCCCCCCTGCGCGCGGTGAGCGGGTGGTCTGCTGCTGCTGCTGCTGCTGCTTGGTGGTCTGCGCAGCCACACCCTAGCATGCGCACGCCTCCCCGCCCGGCTAGCTTTCGTTCACCCCCTCGTCATCGTGATGAGGGTACATAAGGTGTTTAAAAGACATTTGTACAAATGTGCAGATACAGGTCCATAATTACAGGTGTGTTGATACAGCATAGAGATAGATTGGTAGGTGAATAGACGTAAAGAACTACAGAAAGCATAAAACTCGTTTTCTTGAGGCATGAGGTCTGGTTACTTGTTAGATTGAGGTCTAGTCACTGCTTTCACGAGTTGGGTCATAGGGATTATAGACCAGAAGGTCTTTGACTACGCTGGGGTTCAATCATGCATGTTAGGATGTTGCATAACCTTTATTCTATTGATGCACGGGCAATGCTTCAGTAAATTTGTTTGCACCACAAAAAAGGCAACATACACAGATAACGTCGAACCTCCTAGTTCAACATGGCTGGCAACAAAATTGTCATTGTGACTCACTGTCGTGAAGTAAATTGTGAAAAAGGGAGACTTTGGAAAGTTAAAGGTTATTGGCAATTTGCCAGAGAGTCGGAAAGAAAGCAAATTCTGTCATCAATGTAATTTGTCACAACACACCTGTCGTCAAATGTGTGATGATCAGCGATGAGGCGACATTAGACTAAATAGACCACATTGACTGATGACGTTGGGCTGTGCAAACGCGTGACAAACGCGACAAAAACACATTTGTTGCCCGACTCCAAGACCATTCTGAATGGCAAACCCTGCTACAGCTGCATAACAAAGACAGCCATGCCCACAATGCAAATTTTGGGTTTTGCTAGCAGGTGCTTTGCAAACGACTGCATCCCTATTGGGGATGCTAATGACTCAGCGCTCAACCTTCATTCTTTGGCCAAATTGTCCAGAGCTGTCAGGGTGCCGGTTGAATGTTTACAGAAGCCCGCTGCTGCCCCCGTCGTTTAAATATGCAAGAGCGTGTGGAAAATGGACCTTCATCCTTTGCGTTTGAAGCGCCGCGAACTTCGACAATTAACCCATGTAGTTTGGCAAACGACTAGGAGCAAGGACACTACTAGGTGCTCCTGGCCTTACTACTAGGAGCAAGGACGCTACTAGGAGCAAGTGGGCAAGATCAGACCATAGCAGGCCTTTGTATTGTTCCGGACCGTGTGCAAGCGCAAGGACCACTATGCATTCTGACACCACAGGTGCAGAAACTATAGCTTGCTGTAGCTTTTGGTATGACGGCACAGGGCCCACAAAATTTCAAAACACCATTGCGCTCATGCGGGAACTGTTTCCGGAAAAATCGAGCGTTTGTTCTGTGCATCATTGTTGGAAAGCGCCAGAGTGGGTGTGGAGACGGGATGTCAGAACTACTTCGGTAACAGGTGCCTTGTTACTAGTAGCTTCTTGTTACGACTAGTAAGGCACCTGTTACTACTAGCGATGCACTTGTTACTACTAGCTTCTTTTCTTGTTACTACTTTCAATCGTTATTCCAAAGCTGTTGCTGCGCACCGGTGGGTTAGTGAGCTGTTGGTGATAGCACGACAAATGCTGTGAAAAATGCTTCGGCATCCGTGCTTTTTGCTTTGGAACTGCTTGGCTTGGTGTGCCCGCACGGTGGTGGACCTGCGTTCTGATGAAGCGGTGCTGGACACGGGCCCACCAGGTGATGATTGATTGATATGTGGCATTTGCGGTGCCACTAGTTCCGTGAGAGTTCTGTAACCCAGACAGTTCTGTTTTCAAACGCTGCCAGCCACGTGTCCGCCATTGTGCCGAAAGGATCCGAAAGGTGGTGAGATAGGAACGCTTTAGGCTCCGTACTTAGCGAATGGCCTCCAATCTCTGAATGTGTATTTTTTGACACGTCTCTTTCTCTCCGCAGCTTCATGCTAGAGTCTAGAGGTCGGTTTCGACTGGCTGCTTAGGCCGGAAGAGGACCGGCAGCGCCAACTGCACCCCTTGCTGTTTGCAGCTCTTTTTGACGCTGCCTAGCCTTGCTCGCTGCAAAGCGCATGCCCTCCGCAGTGCCCTCCGCACTGTGTGCAAACAACCTTATTTCCTTTCCTCCAAAGCTTGTGGGCCAAATGCCCTTGCCAAGTCAAGGGAGGATGCCATTCCTCGTTCCAGCAGACTTTACGTGCAAAAATGGAAAGCTTGTTGATGGAGCTATGCCTCAAGATCATTTGGCCACATCTCCACGTGACATAGTTTTTCTTGATCTCAAGCTCATGCCCCCCTGAATCCGGAAGACTTCCATCCAGCATTTGTTGGAGCACATCTGCCTTAGTGCTGCCTTCTGTGTCTGCTCCCCCTTTCGGAAGAGGGGTTCCCGCCAGGGGACAGGCCTCCGTGCGGTATTGCAAAAGCTGCTCATACTTCACATGCATGTTTGCCCTGCACTGACAACCAGTGCACTGCAACCCAGACCCTTTGGTGGTCCATTGGTGCCCTCCATCAACTGCAGGTTGACTCCCTTTGTTCGTTGGCTGACTCCCTCGCCTGCCTGGTGAAATGCCCTTTGTCATCCAAGACATGTTGGATGCGAGAAATGGCTTCGACAGCAACAGCCCTGTATTTGGCATCTTGCTGCCTCAGCTCAGCTTCAAGGTCAACCGGCTGCATGGCATATGGCATAGGCTCTCTCCTTTGCCACCTTGCACGCATCAGTCATGCGGCTTCGAAGGGACCAGCCACCAAGTGGGATTTCCTTCAGCTGTTTCTGAGACACATAGATCGATCTGATTCTAGCCCTCTCATCTGTGGTCACCAGACTGTTTAAGTCCCAAAACGTGCTGCCATGGCGCTGCCTGTTCCATGCTTCAAAGGGTTGACATGACATGAACGCGGACATCCTCAGCCAAATCAACAAAATGCCCAGCAATTTTCAACCCGTAGAACCAACCTCTCTGGAAAGTCTGACTGCCAGGGAGAACTGCTGTAACTGCTGTGATGCAGCCCAACCTAAAGAGCTCGCCATTTCGGAGAGCATGACGAACCACTGCCACAACCACATGCTTAAGCCTGGGGTCATGACTCGTTACTGCCAGGCCAATCGTCAAGCATTCTTTTTGTACTGGGAGAGCATCATGCTGGGTCCAAGAGCCCCAAGTTTCAGAACTGCCTCCAGTGTCAATGCTGTACTGTGGCTTGCATTGCAAACCCTGCGACCAGAATTCAAGGTTCACCCATGAGTGAGCTCCATCACCCACTCCTCTGGCAAGGGCTTGAAGTGCTTCTTCATTGCCTCACACAGCCACAACACATGCACTGCCGTGGCCGGAGCATGGCAATGCGGGCAGGTCAAATAACCATGAGGTTTGCTGTCACTCAGCTTCAGAAACAAAGCCCCCTGGTGCCAAGTCAACAATGCAGTAGCATCACGCTGATTGAGCTGCCTGTTGAGTCGCTTCCAAGCCACCCAATCCAGAGGAAATTGCACTTCTTCCGGCATTGCATGTTTGTTCACCCGATGAACTCGCTCCCATTTCTCCGTTTCTTTCAATTGCGTGTGAATGCTGTTCCACAAGTCAGTGATGTTGATTTCCCATGTTGGCAAACCATTGTGGCCAGGTTTGCTCCACTGGTCAAAGCTCTCATGAGTCCAACCATGCTCCCTAAAATAACACTGCAGAGCTGCTATCGGACCCTTGGCATGCTGCCAGGGGTGCTTGACAGAGTCCAAAAGTTGGGTATGCACTTGCCATGACTTCTGCAGGTTTGGTTGCAAATCAATAACAAGGTCAATGTTGCCCGTCTTCTGCATGCCAAGGTGTCTTGCCATGGCTGCCCTATATCTGGCTCGCGTTTGCGGCGCTACACCCATTGCTTCATGACCCCATCGAATGCCAGCCAGGATGCTGCCTTTGAAGAGTCGGAGCCGAACTGCTTTCCACGGAATCTTCAAAACTACTAGCTTCTTGTTACTACTAGTAAGGCACCTGTTACTACTAGCGATGCACCTGTTACTACTATTCAAAGTCGAGAGTTTCTTGCTTTTGCCCACCTTTGGTTCGTCTCGACTTCATAGTCATGATCCTCCGGAGTCTCCCACTGGTGCAGTCACAACCCGAATCTCTCATGACATCATGCACCTGAGGCCCGTCGACCGGCAATGCTTCCTTCAACAAACGTTTTGCTTCAGCATTTGAGACAACGAATCTGGTTTTGCCAGTGGAGATGACCAGCCCATCAGTCTCTAGCTCCTCTATTTGAGGTATCTCTGAATGTGTGAATATACTCGCATCGCTATATATGCACACATGCGTGGGCGTTTCCTTCGATTCCCTGGCTGCTTTCCACACATTGCATTGTTGCATGTTGTCGCGTTAGTCAAATCGTAACGTCTATCTTGAGTGAAATCATGTGGAATATTAAACCCGTTGCTTGTTGGCTTCGGGTTGACGCCGTTGACGATTTGTCCGCCAGGTTTTCACATGTGTGGAGACAGCACTGCGCCTGGTGCCCGTCTTAAAAGAAGTAATTATTGGCTTTATGATGCTTTACGCCTGGCCCTAGGCCTTTGCTGAATTTAAGGTATTGGTGTGCCAGCTGTGGTCATGAGCGGTCATATTTGTGCCAACAACCTCCTCAGCATCCCTGAGCACTGGCAAGTCTTAGCAGGGTGCCAAGAGGATTCTGAAAGACGTGCACACCAGCAGTAGCTGGATAAGAGAACGGTTTGAATGACGGGGGTCGGCTTTTCATGCCCAAACCAAGGACCGAATCAAAGATTGGAGAACCGAATTGGAGGTTTGAACAGCCTCGAAGGAACAAAAACGCAGTTGCACGCCCACAGCGGGCCGTTACCATGTGAAGAGCAGACATAGATTGCATGGTGTCAACGCCGCTGCTTGCCATTTCGCAGATTGAAAGCAAGTTGTAACAGTTTCAAAGGTGCCTTTTTCAAAAGGACGCATGCCTGTTTGCATCTCCACCAGATATTTGTGTGACCCTGGCACCACAAAAGTCATCAAATACACTTCTGTCCGTTGGGGTCGGGGTTAGCCACGAGCTTTCTTCTGTGCCGGAAGTGGTTGATGTCGCGCACATCCCAAGCAGCAGCAGTGGAGAGGATCGTACTGAAGGTGGCCTGCTGTACTAAGCCCTTGAGTTGTGGCTGTCGAGTTTGGTTGCAAGTTGTCATACGAAAGATCAACGGAAAAAGAGACAATGTTTTTGCGTTGTCATTTTTTTTGCGTGTGCTCGAGATGAGGCATGTGAGGAGACCCGAAGGTTGGAGGAGACCCAAGTCTATGTCTTCAACATCAAAGTGCCTCATGCGATTACAGTGACACCTTTTTAAATGGCACATAGCATATGTTGCAAACACAGCTTCAACCAACAACACAGCACATTGCCTTCACCAAACACATTCAATTGCTATGGTCTAGTTTGGGCCGTTTTTTTCAACCTTCCAACTGGCTACTCGGCTACTCTTCTTTCAGGTTGACTCCATGGCTTTTGATGGTGCTGCGCTGAAAGATACTCGGGGTTTGCATTTTGCTGCTTGGACAGAAAATGAGAGAGTTAGAGAAGTAAGTAGACTGCAGACTGGAGTCTTAGACAAGTCATGAGCGTCAGGTCTCTTGCGGTAGAGATAAAGTACAGTAACAGATAACGGCCAACGCTTCTAGGTGGGAGGCCATCTCAGACGTTTAATTGGTCTTATTCTTGGGTCCTTAAGATGAAAGACCGTGGTCGCGAAAGCCCCATGGTTGGCCAGCAGATCGTGTGGGCGCATGGGCAGACAAAAATAAGTGTCCCTCATTTAGAAGGACCCCTTACCTATGTTATTCTATTTTCATGCCTTTATGGTTTTCTGTTTCTTTTTCCTTTGCTTCTTAGTTGTTTTTTTTAACATAGCCTTCATTCTACATCCTAACACAGAGAAGGAGACCGAGACAGTACGCGGAAAAACACTTAAAGCGCTACTAGGTAGCTTCCTTTCACGGTCCCACGTATTCTTGTTCATAAATGCTTATTCGAGCCGTGCTTTTACAGAAGCTCGTTCTCTTTTCTGTTTGTTTTGAGCTTTTCTTGGCCAGACTTTCTGGCTTCATTTGACGAGGCCATCTCAATCCAGAAGAATGGGAAGACTGGCCACAGGTGCTTGCTCACTCCAGCTATCAAGCCAATAGTGGAAGGAACTGAAGGACACCAGCGGTGCTTTTTCAACATCCGCTACGAAGTAGATATTCTTTGGGAAGGCTCGGGGCGGTTTGCCCTACGATCAATCAGTTTTTTCATATTGAATGTCACGGCATCGAAGCACTGGGACACAGAGGGGCTGGCGTGCTATTTTGAGCCTCCACCCTAGCAGCGTTTGTTAGGCTGTGACATTTTGACCTTCAGCGTTTACAAGCACAACCTGTTCTTATCCAACACCTTTCTGGGCTCTTGCGAAATGCCTTTATCACTTTGTTACGAACAGCTGGTGAGCACTGCCAAGTCCTGCAATCCAGCAGAGGCCTGAGCCGTGTCAGCGAAGCTTTCTGGTTGGTGTGATTTGCTGTACCCTCACCTGCGGTCTGAATTCTGTGCCAAATTTTCTCCTGCAGAATGTTTTTCGTTCAAATCTTAGTCTGGGCGTATTCAGCCAAGAGTCTTCTGGATTGCGCAAAACTACCACAGTCCTGCCAGGCTGACCCGCTCCCCATCGAGTTGGAACTCACTTTGATGTACAACTCCAAGCCGGCAATTGGGAGGCACAAAATGTTTGGACAACTGTTGCTTGTGGGGCAATTCGTTTGTTTTCTTGTTCGTTTTATGTTGTACCTGTCTTCTTCCTTTCCCTCGCAGTTGGCTGCTAGCATTGAATTGCAGGGATGCGTCAGCAAAACCAATTCGCAAGGAATCGTTTCAGAAGGAACATTTTATGTTTAACCTAGCGGAATAAGGGGAACTGGTGGGCTGCACGCGGATCAACCCAGTGCTTGCGCATGCTTCCATTTTCACTTCGGTTTTGATTTGACACACATGACATATTTGTGTCGACCTGTATTTTGGACATGTAGGAAAGCCAATCTGCCGCCTGCTTTCCTGTGAACCCTGACCTCTCAAGTCCAAAAGAAGTTCGGTTTTACCACTTTTGAGATTGGGTTTGAGCCCCGCACTCGTAAGCGCGTCCAGAATCACTGAAGTAATCGTCTTGGCCTTCTGCACAAGCCCCGCTGGCCTGGAATCATCAAAAGCTACCGCAATGTCATCAGCCCATATAGGTGCCAGCGGCAGAGACACATGCCCATTGTCATTTGGCAAAGGATCATTTTGTCCATTCCACTGCAGCTGAATGTCCGGAAAGAGTTGTGTCAGCTTGGCTAGAGGTCCCTTAAGGATTCTGGTGAGCGCATAACTGAAGCAAATATCAGCCAAGGCATCGCCAGGCCTACTGCCTCTTCTCGTCTGCACAACACAGTCGTCATGTTTGACAACAAACCAAGTCAGATCATAAAACTCTTTGAACATAGCCTGCAAATGTGGGGAGGCTCCCGAACTGGCAAGGGCAGGTCTTTGCTGCAATGAACATTGGAAATCCTCAAAGCTTCCTTCCGGAACAGATCACGGACACTTCTGCAATTGTTCCTTCCACTTCGTGTCGTGGTGTCGTCCAGGCACTGCTAGGCATTGTTTTGTTTCGTTGTGTATATGTATTCGTTGTCGTTTTCCTCGTGTTCACTCTTGCCCTGGCAAGACAAATGCAGATAACGCAAGGTGTACAAAGAACATTGCGTTGAACACCAGTGTCGTTTAGAATTGTTTCTCACTCCCCAACACCAGCGGCCAGATTCATTTGATGCAGCCATATGCCGGTACCACATTTGACGTGGGTCTGCAGGTGTGGATTATTTGTCTCGTGCAGCAAAGAGGCGCTTCGAAGCGTTGGTGGCCGTGGAGCTCTTTGGGCAACTGTTCCCGAAGAACCAGGTGCAACCTGATTGGCATCGACGAGTGAACTCCTAAAGAAAACGGTTCATATCACATACATTGGTGTAAATCTAGATTTGTCACCATGTGAGGTGAAGAAAGAAGGAAGATATATTCTGATGCGATTAGATGCAAAATGGAGGAGATCCATGCTTGCCACAGTCTAAGTGTCCAGTTGCAACAGGCCTGTACTGTGCGCGGGTCGTGGAAGATGAAAGACATGAAAGAGGAAGCTGGCCACACGTAGGAAGAAACCCAAGTCTGAAATACGGGAGGGGCTTTAAGAGTAGGTTGGAGGCCATCGCTAGTATATAAAATATGGGTTGGAGTGGAGAATTCGGAGTACTTGCAAGCGCCCAAAGGCCCAGGCAGATCTTTGGATGCATGGAGTGGAACGTCTTACAAGTGAAGGCTGGAATTGAAGTGACCAGGTCGTGCATTGACCTGGGTTGGTGCACGATAATTCATCTCTGGAATTTGCCGCATTGCCAGGCGCCCTAGATAACAACACAGTGCAAATTGCAAGGGCCTGTGGCCTGGTCTCTGCAGAGCGTGCTGAGCTTCTGAGGCAAGCTTGAACATCACATATGGAGGGTGGACATGCGATCACATACAGACCTTTGGGGTTCGGAGGTGCGTTTTGACTTGCTGTGGGCAAAACGCTGGAGTGCACGTAGGTTCTACATAGGTGAAGCGACGACAAAAAAAAAAAGTGGAATACGTAATGCAAACAGTTTGCAAATTAGCCTGTTTTGGTGGCACCTTGGGGAGAGTGCGTGATGCTGATGATGCAATTCATTGTTGGTAATGATGATGCATGGATTGATGGATAGGATGTGGGTGGATGGAATGATATGGCATTGTGACCAAGAGGAAGCCTTTCTGTGATCTGACTTCTTGACTCAAGCGAAGTTGCTCTTCTGTAACTGTGGCTAGCTAACACAATACGCCAGGGGGCCTTGACTGATCGCATCGACGTGCACACGCCTCGGCCATCTTGTTACCTCTCAAGTCATCCACCATGTGCCGCAAATCAATCTCAGCAACAAGAAATCAACCTTTCGCAGAGTGCAGCATCATCCCACAGAGACCATTGAACCGGTACAGCCCCTGTTGGCACAGCGGCAAGAGCACTGCCAAGCACCAACCTTGACAAGCTCACAGCACAGCCAGGATGCTTGGGAAGTGGAAGTGCAGTTCTGCCAATGTAGGTTTCCACCGGTTGGCCACATGTGGTGCGCACACACACTTATTGACATGCGTACTGATTCGGTTGCGGTTTGCCACAAGCCAGCCTAAGTGAAAAACCTAAGAAACCAGGGTGAGTGTAAGTAAGGCTTCTCAACAACTTCCAAAGTTTAAGTTCTCAAAGCTCAAAGCGGCGACTGCATGACAGGTGAGGTTGCTGCAAAACCCAAGCCAAAAGCAATAGAAGCAGGGACCAAAAGGAAATGAATGGTGATCATCTTCTCGCAGGTACGTGCAATCTGCGTCCAGCCTGCGTATCACAGCAAACTTGAAGTGTCTTCGTTGAGCGGTGACTTCAAGAATGCCCACCGCTCCGCTGCTGCAAATTAAGGAAAAACGTTCTGTTTCCAATCCAAAGAGGATCCCTATGATTCCAAGGGGGACACACACACCCACACACACACACTTGAGAAGGTTGCTCCGTGGAGCGCGATTTCAGGCTGCTTCGCGGTGTGCATTAGCCCTTTAGAGTTACTGCAGATTAGACCTTGACTGAAAAAAGGTGCAAAGTCGGACGAACAGAATTGTTGTAACAAATCATGGTTTAAACAATTGAGAGCAGGTACACATTCAGGCGT